CAGCCATGTTTACGGTGTGAACTTTAGGAATATTTTGTAAGGTTCAGCTAAAGGCTTTGCGGTTAGAGTAGGTGTTAAGAAGGTAGAATGAGGGTTCCTAAAGTTAAGCTTTTGAAGAGCATTTTAAGAATGCTTGAATTTAGTTTAATCATTTCTCATTAGCATTACCCATCTTCTCATAATAAGGATGGAAATTCACGCTTGAGGTATTTCTCCCAGGCGTAGCCTGTACTCCACCGATTTTTCGAGCTCTATCCCGAAAACCTTAACGACCGCAATTCCGCTTTACAGGACTCATTGCTTCTTACGTACATTTGAAGCTATAGTGGGTGGCGTGCCTGAATTGCTTTGCATGACTAATGCCCGTTTTATAGCGGAGGAGCCGTTGTCATAGATCCTTTACAATTGCAGACCGCACTGATTGCTTCTTAAAACTTTCGCCCCGGATCGAATCCTTCTCTGTCTGAGAGGCCGGTGTATCTGCTGACTATTTGCAGTGGAATGGCGTGCCCTTGTGCTTATCACGGAATTTCTTTAAGAGGAGTTATTGTATATACTGCCCTAATCAAATCTTCGAGTATTGACCATGTCATTTACGTTGGTTCCACTATAATTGCTCTATTTCACTAAGCGCTCCTCACATTTGAACTCTGTGGGCTTTCCTTAGCAGGGACAATTTTTTTTATGAATCTTAAATTAATAAAATCGATAGTATGTATGCAATTAGTCCCCATTATAATCGTTCGATGGGGACCGCTAGCCCGTCAAGTCCCTTACTTCCCAGTACTTGAACGGGATTAGCACGGAAATGTTTAATTTGGATTAGATTCCCGCAACATGCAGTTTTTATGAATTTAAATGCTTTTTTCGTTATAAACAGTCAAAACAACCACTTTATTCTCGAAAAAGCCCTAATTCCATATGGCTATGCGTCATAGCACTGGAGGGTACGCATGTCCGTATTTATGTTCTAAACGCTCCTAGAGTTCAAACTGTTTCCCCAGGGGAAACAAATTTGAAGCCGTAGACCTAGAACGCTCAGCTAATTATGGGGCCGATTTATAATCCTTGACGAGGCCGTGGTCAGTGTTGGTGTCAGAATTCGCAGATAGTTGGAGGCGCATTAAATCACATTTTGACTGACGTTTGTCCAGTGCTTATTTGGATTGCATTCCTTTTGTCTAAAATTGTTTACAGAAGGGCTTGCGGCCGCAAAATACCTACATTTACAATGATTTTTAAACATTTTGTCTCTATTTTAGAGAATTAAACGAGTATGTAGAACACTGTGGTTACGTTTATGTGGAAAATCAGAGGAGAAAACGTATTTTTCGAAAAAAATTATTTTGTGAATAGATTAAACAGTTCTAGACTTAAAGCCCATTTGGTAGGAATGTGTACTGTCCGGGAGGATAATTTCGATGTACTATAGGAGCTTGATAGTGGATTCTAAACCAGGATATTTTTTCGAAAAACTAGAAATCGGTTCAAAATTGTTAATGGACTCAAATATGCAGGTGGGATCTAAATTTAAAAAAAAACTACTTGAAATAGAGCAGACTTATTTAATTAATTTTTTTAGTTTTGTAGTTAGAAAAATCATCTACATTAATAAAAGTTTTGACCTTAGATGCTGAAGGCTACTACCTGCCTGTACTTTTGTTAGTGAAATCTTCTTATGGAAAATATTCACCGTGTCATGAATACTAATGATGTGTTTATATCTTAATCGTTCGTTGACTTTAAACACTTC